GCAAGAAGGGAAAAGAGCGGGCGAGAGGCAAACCCCGCTGTGGGGAAACGGTTTGACGTCGAATTTTCCCACCGAATAAGCTTCGAAGATACATACAATTCCGTTTCAGTCCTTTGATGTCCCAGGACTCCCATTCGCAGGACACAGCAAGGGTCAACACATGTAAATTGTGCCCTAATAGTTAGGAAGTCATTCTCGAGTCTTTAAATCACGGGGTCACTCCGATTTTAGTATATCACTTAACAAACACCACACTCTTGCCTGCCTACACTCTGAGCGACTGTGCATTTTTAGAGAAGCTTAGGCGTAAAAATTTTCCATTTTCGAGAAAGAGGGGTTTTTCGATATAAAAATCTGGAGACGATTTCAGAAGTCTATTAATCAAAAGGTAGACACTTCGCAAATATATGGCGTTCAATTGTCTACCGAAAATTAACAACGGGTGTGAGATATATATATATATGTACTTTTGATTCATAAAAGCTTATGCCGCTTGCTATGACTTGATAAAGGAAATGCAGGCTGCTGTCACGAAGATGTTTGTAACCATTTGTGCCGCTCGCAGTCATGGCGGCCGGCCATTCGTTTTTAGAACAGCCATTCTGCCCTTATCCGACGACGTTATTATGCTTCTCGATAATGTGATCGTGACAATAACGGCACTCACTGCTCAACGGCGAATCGGTACCGAATCGTCGGCAATGTTGCGGTATTGGCCGCAGAGAGTGACCAGCATATAGGCTTGATATTTGCGTCGGATGAGAAGTGCCAGAGTGAGTGAGTCGTGCTCATGATGTAGCCTCTGCTTTGATACTGAGATGACGCTTGATACGGTAGTGCCTAGGCGGCAGCAGCGACCAGATCGGAGGCAGTAAAAGTAGTAGTTGTAGTAGGAGGAGGTACGAAATAGGCAGATCCTAGTAGGAGAGCGAGAGAGTGATCGGGGGAGAAACAAAAATAGAAAGAGATACGGACGAGGAGGAGGGGGAGAAGAGCGACGACGAGGAATGGACCCGGCGGCGGCAGCAGCTGCAGTAGCAGCGACTGGGTCTGAGTGAGTGGTGAGCGGCTGGAAGGAGGATTCATCACTGCCACGAGATGACTGATGGACACCGATGGCCTGCCGATGGCGAAGCGCGCGCGAGTGAGAGAACCGGAATGAGCATGGGGGAGAGAGAGAGAGAGAGAACGAAGCAAAAGACTACTCGATGGCAAACGGCCTCGGAGCATGGCTTGTAGTCGGTCGAGAAACCTGCCTGGTGGCAGCAACAGCAGGCGGTAGCCAGCCAGCCGGGCTGCTGATGTTGGTGCCGTCAGATATACACAAACTGTAGGGATAGCAAACTCTATATAACAGTGGTAGAACGGCCACACATAGTCACCCGCCCATCAAGAGAAGAAATAGAACACAGAGACCGCAGCAGCGGCATCTCGCAACAGTGAGAGTACCACACCACATGCCACATGCTTGTTGTACATGGTTACCGTACACTCACGCACACACATAGATACAGAGTATACACTGAACAGGGATGAAACGAATGAGAGAGGCAGATGGAGGAAGCAGGGCGATAGTGAAAAAGAGGATGAGAAAAACCCAGCGAACGAAAGACCATCGCGCGGCAATGGTATAGTAGATGGCCATCGTCTCATGTCGATGCCGGTGAAGGGATTCATTCGTTCCGTCTGTGGCTGTCTGTTTGTTTGTCTGTGTATAAGGCCGCGTGTGTGAATGGTGTACTGCTGCCCGGCCGATATGGCACGACGACATCTCAGCAACCCATCGGCTGTACCACATGCACGAGCGCTAGCCGGACAACAACAGCAGCTAAAACCGCAACTGAAGCCACAAAAGATACGCTTATAACACATACAGGCTGTGACAACTGGTGGTCGGTTTTTCCTTCTCTATAAGAACGAACGAGGTAAGTGCGACAACCCAGATCGGCGGACTGATACCGCCGAACCTGCAGGGGTACCGGCATCACTGTACTCACAAGTATGTATGTATGTATGATGCACACATTCAACGCTTTAGCAGCAGTAGATGCAATGCTCGTGAATAAGTGTCAAACCTATCGACTGAATTTACACCTACGAAAAAAAAATGCCATTACCTGTATGTATTCTGTAGGAATCTGTAGAGCGTACGTTGTCTAAACAATATGTGTGACTTCATTTCGATAAATACGCTTGCCGAATACCATACTTTAAATTAGCTTCGTTATAGAACTAATTTATATTTCCTATAAACATAATGGTAATACTGTATAATTTTGTATTTTGGTATCCTGTCGAAAAAATGTCTAAATATCGCATATGCGTATCAGACGACGGAATCACAAAACGAGCTCTAAGAGAGGAAAGGGTTGATCTGCAGTACGCTTTCATCATCATTAGGTTAAAGGTAAGAGCTAACCATCACCATCAGGGAGGGCTCTTGTATCACCTTACAACGCGTCACTATTGGCACCGCTGTCGGACAGAGAAAGTCCTTGCCCCCATAGCTTTGCTGCTGCCTAACATTATTCATCGTAAAATGCAGAAACAGCACAGAGCGGCCTTTTTCGGACCCTTTAGCTTTTTTCACCGTGGTCGTCCTTAGGTGCCATTCGCGACGACATCGTCTACATTGTCGCATCAAAGTACATCACCGTACATGAATACGAGATAAAGCTAGTAGAAAGAAGCGAGCTGCAGAGAAGCTAGAACCAGTAACTACTACAGCATACTAGGTTTTATTCGTAAAAAGTAGCTGCCGGCAGTACTCAAGCTTCGCCAGTTTCCGCTTCAAGCACTTCAGTAGCTACCACCGCAGCAAATTCGAACGTCGCCTGAGTCGGCGGTTCCATTCCTAAGCCATTCTGAACAACGACTCAGTGCCAAGATCGCGACGGCCGTGTACGGTGGATGGAACCACCGCCGCTGCTGCAAGTCGGATATAAACGGTTTAAACGGGTCCGGGAGGCTAGGCCATTTCCCGGACCGCTGTTTCCTTGTGGGCCACGGGGGCCACCATCTTTCTGGCAGGAAAGGGACGAAAATGGAGCGACGGGCTTTTAACGACGAGAGCGACCGATGACGACGCCAACGGAGAAAGCGGGGCAGCTTTCGATTCTCGACCGCCGAGCGGTACTGCTGTTGGTGCAACCGCGCGCTTGCTTCGCACTCCCTCTCCCCCGTTCTCTCTTTAAGCTCCCTTTTTCGTCCGCTATGAGAGAAGAGAACAGGGAAGAGAAGATCAGCCGAAGCTGTAGGAATACATCAACGTCAAATTGGCTCCAATGAATGATTGATGGATGGCCCTGCTACTGCTTGGCTGGGCTTGAGTTAGGCGGCTGGGCGACTGAGCGACATAGTGGCATGGCACAGACAGAGGCTGCTTGCAGCAGCAGCCAGACCGTCAGGCACCCAGGCGAACAGATATAACTGTTATAACTCGTAGAAGCTAAGGCAAAAAAGAGCTGCTTACGCTGGAGTGATGGCACCGCTGCCGCAGGCCCATGCACACGCCGCGCATAGATCGGCATAGTTCGCCAGCACACAGCAGCAGTAACGAACGAGCCAATGAACGATGAAGGTACACGGCCATAACCACCGGCGTTGCCGCCACAACGAAGACTCGAAGTGGGCACGACGACTGCCAGTGCGGTCGCAGCGGCCGCGCTCTGTTCGAGGAGCAGCAGCAGGGGAAAACTCATCGTTGTGACGCGCTGAGCCAGCCGAGCTACTGGCAACTCGGCAGGCCAACGCTAGCGGTGGCAGACAGATGGTTCCTGTGCCTGTACCCTAGTGGTGCCAGTACACGTAGCTAGAAAGATGGTCGAACTAAACGGTACCCAAAGGAAGAGACACCCTCGACGGGACAGTCACATAGACGAACTCCACGACATAAATTCGGCCACATACTCTAAGCGGTCATATACATATCTAGACTACGCAGACATTTGCCAATACTAGCGCACGATAAATATAACATGAGTCGGCAAACAAACCACCCAAAAAGAGTTAAATACTGTGCTACCCCGTTGTGTACATTTACTTGTGGATATGTATGTGTTAGAGGACGACATTACGCAGTGAAAACAAAAGAGAACAAAGTTTCATAGCGTGCGCTCTCCTTACTTTTTTTGAATACCATTAGTTTTAAAAAGTTTCAAAGGAACAAAAATTCTGGGTGCCGTCAGGGGCGATATGATTGGGTTGGAAGTATCTAGCCATCCACTTTTTATTCGGCCACTATATCAAAGGCGACTTGTGTGCTGAAATGAAAAAAATACATGGATTTTTTGTAACGTTTACGAAGTTCAGTGAATATAGAAATCTTGCACAATCAGAATAGAATTTGTGATGGGCGACCCACACGCTGACGTGAACCACATATATGGGCCTATGTCGCAATAGGAATACCAGGATCTAATTATGATAATTTGAATTGTCAATGACGAGGATCTGAGACACTAAGCCCCATTTAGGTACTAGAGTTTCAATTGATAGATGCTATTTGTCACAGTTCTTAAAAACATGTACTTTGAACATTAACGCATCGATCAAATCAAAAATATGCTTTTATAGTATATATATTACACTACCAACCCATTATGAATGTCATCCTCCTATGTCGCTTGACCCACAAAATGGGTTATCGAGGTTTGCGGAGACCCACAAATCACGTGCGATCATTACTATTAGCAAAAGTAAAACATTTTCGAATGTTATTTTTTTTATGGCGAAACTAGTCCACTTAGGGCATTGTGCGGTCTAATTTCGATTTCTGCCTCTGATGTCTTTGGAGTGTCCATCTAATCTCAATTAACGGTTGTTGTTGCTGTTGTTGTTGTCACCAATGCCTCGATACGGGAAGAATATATTTGCTATTGCATACGTCGCACTATAATTATATTTACGCAAATAACGGGCACGGCAAGAAAGAACGTTGTGATAGGTTTTTTCGTCTATCGTATCATTTCTACGCTATCCTTACGCTTAGTCGAACTTACATTTGTTTCTCTTAGGTGAAACTTCGGCTCCGTCAACGAAAAGAGGCTGTCCATGTTGATGATGTCCTCCTACGGGGGGTTGATTGTGTCCACCCGCTGCACCCCCGACTCCGCCGGCGTGGTGCAGTTGCTGATCCTCAACGCTTTCTTCGGCGTCAGCGGGTTTTCCCGCTGTCTCATGCTCAAGACCGGCGTGGGTACTCTGTACGGAGTCATTGGTATTAGTATTATTGTTGTTGGCGCTAGTATTGTTATTGTTTCTCGCCGCACACTGCTGCTGTTCGTCTTCTTCGCCGTCGACGACAAGTCGACAGGAGCGCGGCGGCCTCTTGCGTGGCCTGCGGCGTGTTGTCGGCACAATTGGATTTTGTTCGGCCGGCAGCAGCCCCTGAAGTTGCACGACCATCTTTGGTTGTTGCTGCGGTGATGGTGATTGCGACCGAGGCCGAGATTGACTCTGACTCTGCAGAGCTTCCAGATTCTGTTGACTTCGATTTTGGATTTTGTGCTCTTCGTTTTCTAACTGTTGCTGCCGCTGCTGCGGTAGCGGCTCTTTAACGGTTGCAGCGGCCGCCGTAGACTTAGTAACGGTAGACAATTCTTCAGCAGAAGAGACCCAAAGAGAAACAGTTGCGTTTTTCGAGGTCGGCAAATTGCTAATCGATGGTTGTTGTAGTGCTGGTGATGTTGATGCTGTCGGAATCGACTCCTTTTGCGTTGTTTCTTTAATGCTGCTGCTAATATCGCTGACGCTATTATCGTTGTCCGACGTCTCGGCGTCGGCGCTCACTTCGGCCTCGGCGTCGACGTCGGCACAAGAGACAGACGGCAGGCGGGGGCGGCCGGACAACGGCTGGGGGGGGTCACTTGGCTCGGGCAGGGTGTCGCCGTCTGGGGACGCCGTCGCCTCAAGGGGCGAAGGCGCGCAAGCATCAGCCACAACCCGTTCCGAGCAGACCAACAGCTCGTCGCGCGGCGCGGCCAGCGCTCGCGCACAGGCTCCCAAAGACGTGCCGGAAAAAGCAGGTGGCGGAAACCTGCTACCTCCGTTGAACCTAGGCACTGTCTCACTAAACAGGGCCCAGGCCAAGAATGCCGACGGGAAAGTCACTCAGTCAGTCACTCAACCAGACAGCAAATGAGGAGACAAAGTAGAATAAATTCAGGCCCGTCAACTCTTGTAGATGATTCCCGCCTCTGACACTCGGAGTAGCGGTACATTGAATTCAGCGATGGTTGCCAGTAGCACGACGAAACGACGAATTATTGAGCAACGCCAACAATTCGAAATGATAAGTAGCAGTCGTAGACAATAGTTAATAATAATAATAATCGAACGAAGTACGACAAAGCTGGTAACAAACGACCACCACACGCACTCACGCACTGGCAGAGGTAGATAATAATCGAATAGAGAATCGACACACACACATACACCCAGTAATTCACAAACCCAGGCTGTTGGTAACGCTGCTAATATGTTGAATCTTCTTTTGGTCGGAACACAACTTCCCTCTACTGTATTGCTGCGGCACAAGCTTATCGTTGTGCCCCCACTCCTTCTAAATAACTATTTACGTTTCCTTCCTGTCGACGTAGTTGAAGGTCGGCTAAACTTTCCAGTCGATGAGCAAACAAGTAGTTAAGTACAGAGTCGCAGTTGGTGATGAATCAGTTGTTGTATAATCCAGAGGGCACGAGTTCTCACAAGTTCACTTTTCCTTTCGTGGTGATGCAATTCACACGATGCGTCGATATTCGAATTATCTACTATTTCTTTATTTAATTACGAATAGCAGTACCGTGATATTGCATGATCGCCGTAAGACAGGCTGTACCGTTAGTGTAGCAATGCAAGGTTACAATTTAATAATACTTTGTTATTATTTTATGGGTACGATCCAATTGCAGAAGTCTTATAGGTAGTAGCCAGTGGTCGTAATAGCACTTAACCCGCGCAATCGCAGTTTGCACTTAAACAACGAGCGTGTGTTATATGCGACACGCGTATTGCTGGTTCGATTAGGGCTGCTGCAGTTCACTCCTACTGTTATGCCTTCGACTACTGCCCCGCCGTCACAATTGACAACATGGGGACAAGTCAACATGTGCGGCTACTACTCCCTCTTGGCCGCTGACTCTACTCGGCGATATGTTGTGCTCTTCTGAGCGGTCCACTCTGATCCATCCAACGTTGCTCCGGCTGTCAACAGCGCCTCTCCTCTGTCGACCCTCGCCGTGGGAGAGGGTCGTCCTGGCTGAAACAGCGGGCCGGCCCAGCTCAGTGCCATTAAGTGCTGCCTGCGCGCCGTGTTTGTTATGGCGAATAGCCCGCTAGGGTTAGCGGACAGCGATGGCCGACCCTTTCCCCCATCAAGCGGCGCTGTCATGACAGACATCCGTACCTCAAAGGCGAGAGCCTCGTGTGTATCGCTCGCTTGTGATTATATGACGGACGTTGAACGGGACGGGCGCTGAGCCAGGGGGCCGCGGCGGTGGCGCTCGCCTGTGGGTCTTTGAGAGTATGGGGAGTGGGGCGGGGGGCAGCACGAACGAAGTCCGCTAAAGCAGCGGCGCAGAATCGGCGCACTGCCATTAGGCAGCTCCCTGTTCGTGCTAGGCCCTGGCGAGGTCCGCTGATTCGGCGGGCCCCGAGATGGAAGGGAGCCTGCCTGTCATGACAGAGAGCCATACATCAAAACTCTGTATCGGGTATTTCCCTAACTTTGCCCCCTTCCCAGCCTACCCGGTAGTGCCCCAACAGGCCGGGTCTCCGATAGGCTAAAAAACGTCCCTGGGGGTGGTGAGAAGCGAAAGGCAAACAGCGGCTCTAGGGACAAGGGGTGGCGGCTGCTTGGTGTTCGGGGAAGAACAACTTGGACATGTGGGAGGACTGGGGATGGGGGGAGGAACGGCGACAGAAGGGAACAACACCCGCAGCAGTAGCAGCAGCGAAGGGGACTCCCGCAGGAGTTGTCACTCAGCGTTGGCAGGCCTCGTCAATCGCCTGTGTGGCTCGGCCGCTGCTGCTGGCTGGCTATCCAGCTGCTGCGCCTCTCAGCAGCATTTTCACTGTTGCCGTAGCTGCTGCTGTCATTGCAACAACTACAGGCACTATGGTACACATTTTCCTTACTTTTCATCAACAGCAGCAGAAATGGCGTGTCGCGTTACACTCAGCTAACTAGGTAAAGGAGCACACCGAACCGGCAGACTTTTGGTCGTTTGCCGGTTGTGGGATGGAGCCGAATTCATCAGGAGTGGAACGAGTCGAACGTAAAGGTGCACAGATCGGGTCATTGTTGACCTACCTTTGTGCTTCTTTCTGCAGAGGAAATCGTACAACAGCGAATCGCGACGAGGCAGACGACCATTGAAATAGAATATGCATAAAAGCACCTGAATAAACCAGGGTAAAAACTAAGTGTCGTCTTGATTTAAACCTGTTCCATTTTTTATCTGTATACCACCGCTAGATAATTAAGCACATTACAATAGGCTCTAAGAAGATTTCTCAGATTTTCGAATTGCATCAATATCGTAGCAATTATTAGGACAAGTTAATCCACGTTCTCCAGCGTGTCACTGCCCATACTGATGACGTCTACGTTGAGCAGGTAAACATGTACTCTAACAATGAATACTAAGGGATATTTATCCAGTTATTTACCTGGTTATTTCCTTGTTTTACTAACTCAATTGTGATACCTATCCCGAATTCGAAACAGATGACGACATGCAGCCCGACTAAGTCGACGATAACCATAGATCGATAAGAACTAAATTACTTTTATAGTATAACTGATTAACGCTAGCTTTTTTTTTAAATTAATCTTTCGCGCTTGCTCAACAGATAATTGTTTTATTCGCAAAAGTTTATTTACTAGCTCACAGCAGAGTCAGCGAGGGCAAAAAGTTTTCGAGCAATATTTTCCTTCTATTTCGGGAGGGTTTCTACGTACAATGCAGTTTACTCTTCTGCTGACTCGTAGATTCAGCGACCAGTCGGCTACGAAGGGAAGAGCGCTGAGAACAAAAAAAAAAAAAGAGAGAGAGAGAGAGAGAGAGAGAGAAGCCAGTGCAGTATGAGAGAGAGGAGAGAGAAGGATAGCGAATGATGTCTTGGCAGAAGCGATGGGTGGCATCGAAGCGGGCGGGCCAGGGAAGAGTACAGATGGGCTTCCCTCGCTAGCCAGGGTGTAGTAGCTTCGGCGAAACAGGGACGGCAACGCGCAAGCCAAGGCACGGGAAAAGTTCGCTTGTGCAGTGGCCCGGCAAGTAACGGGCCAGTGAGGAGCGGCCTAGGCAGAGTGGACGCACACGAGGGGCGCAAGGGAGTCGTCACTCCGCTCTGACAGGCTTCCATCAAAGCAGCAGACAGACCGACATGAAAACAAGGCAGGCAGACTCAAGCAGAGCCAAGCGTGCGCGGTATTGCTGAAGAAAGCTAGCCACGAAGACTACAGCTTAGAGTCGTCCCTGCCTTCAAGTAAGCGCGCCCAAACATACTCGGTACACGAAGAAGTCGTGTATCAACACAAGGAATACTGATCAGAGGATATTGTATAAACATAAATGCATGTTTTGATAGGTGAAAGAAGAAAAGAAGATAAGATAGATATAAAAGAAAAAGATTAGAACGCACATTCGATGTTTATATATGATAGTTATTCAAGTTGTATAGAAGCTGATTGAAAATAGTTTATAGAGGTACAAAGAAGCTTTAGTTAACCGAATTGACCTGATTCAAAATTCTTTCGTGGAGACACGTCATGAAAACGAAAACAGTAGTGTATAAATAAAAAAGAAAAAAAGTAAAAATAGTAGTAACGAAATAACGAAAAATGAAAAAAAAATAAACACGTAAAGTAAAAGTAGTTTTCATTGTTTTTCACAACATGCATTTCAGTAAGCATCAGTCCTTACATCTTTGAGGTGATGACATATGATTTGCCGCCCGTACCCCGTTCTAGACGTTGCAGGCTAAAGAAGAAGAAAACGGAAGCTACTCTCTCTACAATTTCTCACTCATTAGCTATACATTCCATGGCAGAAGCTACGACTGTTGGCCATCAGGCCATCTTCGTTCACTTCACTTATCATTAAGTAGCTCTGATTTCTTTTTCTATCGGTTCGAGTGCATCTTCAGTTACGGAAGTTAAGCAGCGGCAGTCGCTTGTCTCTGAGAGCCCTTTCTGCTTGCTTACTTGGTCATTCTATCAATTTCTCTTTCAGCTTTTTGCTCCTTGAGAGATGCTCCATGCTCCGGCGACTTCAACTAAAGCCACTAGGACTTTGCTGCATCAACCAGTCTCCCGTAGGTTAGTGGTTGGTCGCCAGACGTGTCACATCTCATCTCGACGCTTTCCGTTCGAAGTGGATGTCACAGACTCTGACACTTGACGGAAAAGCTGCTGGCGCCACTACCGCCGTTGGATTTAGCTATCCCTTCCCGCTCTGGTTTTCTCTAGCCGGAGGTGTTCGAAGTGTCGGAAGAACAGAGAAAGGACAACTAACGGTAAGGAATTTGGACTAACTGAACCAGAAGTTTGGGACAAGGTTGCTCCTCAACGGCTAAAGGAAGAGGCGAGCGGGCAGGCAGGCTACTACCACCGGGGTCATCCCTGCTTGGCTAACTGGCTGTTGGGTAAGTAGGAAAGAGGCAGGTAACATGTCAGTCAATCAGTCAGCGTCCTTTTTCGCCTGGCGACGGCTTCCTGAACAACGCGTTGTTCAGGTGTGTTTAGATTCGTCCACTGCTTACTCGTCCATCGTTCTTACTGCTGCTACCGCCTTTGGACCGGATGCAGCGCTGCTAACGCCTAAGGCTACTATCTCAGGCCACCTGAGGCTTCAAAAGGGACAAAAAAAGGAAGATAAATAGAGAGAAAGAGACGAACACGAGAGAACCTGAAAAAAAGAACGAAAAGGAACGCAAAAATCAGAGAGAAGTAGAGAGAGAAAAAGATTGTTAGTGGGTGCACCCACCACGAACGTCCGTTTTCTTCAGTCCCCGCTTTACGTAGAGTGGCAGCTAGAAAAACTGCCAGTCTTGTGCCCCTATATTGTCGCGCACTGGTGTCTACTGTTCGCATATAAGGAACG